AATTAGTTTTTTGGGCTAAATGCTGCACCAATACTGCCAGCCACCAGGCTTCTCGTTAGAAATTAACAGGATGGGCAGAGAAACTTCAGGTCTGTGCACCTACATGGCTAGGCAAATCCTAATAACCTTTCAAGAGTGCAGGCACACTATTTGCTACTAAAGCAACTACTACAACATCACCGGCGTATTAAAGTTTACTGTTTCTACTGTAAGCAATAATGAAAATGGTCCACATAAATAGCCAGTTAATACACTAGCACCAGAGAAGACATTACCTTTATTTTTTCAGTTAAACCACCAACAAACAGCATGGCATTAGCATCTACATCCAGAATGGTGTATCCAGGTGGAGAGACAGCACTGAATGTGGCTGGCACAATGCTGGCTTTAGGACCATCCAGAGCTCGCACTGATATTGTGCCATTTTTCCCAGTCCTAGAGATTTTAACAAAATAATTTAAGCATACAGAGTCAGTGGTTAAACCAAACATAGGAAAAGTCTATTTTAGATGGCATCTTTTAACAGAGGCATGTATTACTGATTTGGTTATGTTCCATTTTTGATACAAATGAATGGATTCCTACGCCTGTGTAAGTTAAAGCCATGACCACAGAACCAGGTTTTTTTTCTCACCTCAATGTCCCTTTTGAACAAAATTCACTCTACAGATGAAGTGGAACTTTCATTGACTAAAACAAAGAAGTTGCATTTTTTAAATTATTGTGATGAAATTAGTGTTAAGTAATTGTTTCTTGACGTAACAAATGATGCAGGCAAGGTTCCAAATTAAATTTATGAATTTCATAAGGTTTATTAGATTATATTTGAACTGAAATGAATGATCATGTGATAAAGTACTTCAATTTGCTCCACTGTGATGCACAGAGTTTGCATTTTCTGCAGTGGAGCTCTCTGGTTGCTTATGAAGCAGGCACAAACCCCATTATGTTTAAGAATGTTACCTCATTGTCCTCTGAACCATATCAAATATTGATGGTAACAACAACAACAAAAGAATATACCATTTGTTAATAGTTTCTGCAGCACATTGTTTTCTCCTCCTTAGGTTATATTAATGCACTAACTGGCATGGAAAGAGTTTGCTGACATTTTTACAATAAAAGGAACAGAATGTGGAGAGAGATGATTCCTCCTACTTTTTCAGGTATACAGAAAGGTATTTCAAAGAAAACTTGAATAATTTTGAATCCTGTGCAATAATTTGCTTAATATTAGTTTCGCTTACAGCAGTATGGATAGTAGCTTTCCACGGAAAGCTTACTACTAAGCTAATAGAAGTAAACTATTAGGCATTTATAGTCACACCATAAGTTAGTGTTTCCTCCCAGACAGATGGACTATAATCAACACACACAATTTCTTATGGGGCCGTCATATAATTGCAGAAAAAAGCATGGAGTGTGACCCAAATCGTGTCATGTGCAGATGAAGTATCTAGTACGTTCAGTAACCTAGTGGAGGAGTGGCTAGGAGATGAAGTAGGCAGAGGGAGATCACATACTGTGGGTTTATAGATAACTTTGGAAATTGCTACTTTATCTCATTTTTAACAGGATGTGGGATTTCCGATGACCACTGTCATGTTAATTTAGAAATTTCTAACATGGATGCCTGATCGTACAGCCCTAACTAGCACTGAAACACTCAGCGTGGATACCAATACTACATGGAACTTTTCGAACTTATGTTTGATACTTAATGTAGAAAGACACCTTTTTAAATAAAACTTACTTTTTTTTTCTGTAACAGTTACAAAGAGTGTATACCTACCAAGAGTGACTACCCATTTTTTAGATTATGAGTGGTATTTCGCTGGCTACCTGATTCGACTCTAAAAATGACTCAGTACCTGTTCTCAAGCTAGACAAAACAGATTTTTCTCAGAAAACAGATTTTATATCTATATTTGTGAAAAAGGTTTCTGGGGAAAGGAAGGAAGCTGATTAAATAGAGGTGATAATATTCACCAAAAATTTCCACATGTAGCTTTTCTAGATGAAAAGTTACATACTCATCCTACCAAGAGACTGTCAAGTCACAGTCAGAAAATAATAATTAAAAAAATCCCGTTGATTTTCTAAAGTCCTGAACTTTGCAGCATGCAAAGATGCAAAATCCATTTTTGTTTAACTAGGAAAAAAAAAAAAATGGCTTGAGGCATTGAAGTAACAAGCAAACTAAAAGTTAAAAGCATACCTTTCAGGAAGAACTGTCATTTCTGTTAAATAAAGCTTTACTTGAAGAACTTACATTTAGAGCACAGCAAGGAAGACTGCATAACTTTGGCTACGGAATAAGCTAAATGAAGACATTGCTATCGTGTACTTACAGAATTCCTGGATTTAGAAAGTTTACTGGACGAGGGCTCTAGAGGGTGGAAAAACCCAATAAGACTATGCATTTTATGTCTAAAAAATACTTCAGAAATTCCTTTGGCTCAGAATCTATTACCCAAAAACCAGAATGAGTTGACAGTTTTCTTATGAAATAATATAGAACTGGAAAAAAGCCACTTAAATAAATTAAAAAAAAAAAAAAAAAAGATTTAGTTGAGACATTTCAGTTTTGATAAATTTCTGCTGAATTCTGAAGAAGGGCTGCAAAGTAATTTTGAGGGTTTCCAATCAACAGAAACCTTGTAGATCTATGCCATCTTGCCTGCTTTGTAGTCAAGGATCTCAAGGCTTTCAATGTGAAAAACATGTATTTGCAAAAAAACACTGGAGCTCTTTGATTACCCACCCATACCTTGATCTGGCACCTCTGGAAACCATGTAGATGGGACTCTTAGTTTCCTAGGGAATCTCCTAAGTGACATCTGGGGTATGCGAACATGTAGTTGCTCCAAGAATGCTTTGGGTTGGAAGGGACCTTTAGAGATCATCTAGCCCAACCCCCCGGCAGTGAGCAGGGACAGCTTTAGCTGGATCAGGTTGCTCAGAGCCCCATCCAACCTGACCTTGAAGGTTTTTAGGGATGGGATCTCCATTACCTCCCTGGGCAACCTGTTCCAGTGCTTGACCACCCTCATTGTAAA